ACAGAGTAGGAAATTAGAGACAGAAAGTATGCACTATTTTTTTTTAATTGAAATAAGTACCTGTAGCCAATTATGCTAGAAATTTATGGTACATATCTAGCTTTTCAACAGAAGTAAATTAGTGGGCAATAGATAGGATGACTTTCAGGAGATAAACACTTTGAAAGTTTTGCCTGAAAAATAGTCATGATACAAGAGGTTCTGTAGCTGTACATTCTTGAGTTTTCTGAAGCTGGGACCTAATCTATTTTGTTCATTCCTATATCTTCAGTATCTAGGGCAGTAGCTGGAAAATGTAAGGCATTCAGTTGGTATCTGTAGAATGAATACCTGATGATCATTTCTATGAAAAAACAGACTAATGACATTAAAAGCGTAAGTAAACACGTTCAGTTTTAGATATTATGAGTGATATCCGGGTGGAGCTGTTTGATAGCAGTTGAGAATTGAAGAGGAAAGTCAACTTCATGGGAAAGGAGAGCTGGAGATACAGATTTGAGAATCTTTGCATGGAGATGGTAATAAATGAACTGAGTTCCAAAATAAAAACCTAAAGACACAAAGAGAGAGAAATAGGGCCAAGGAGAGAAACTGGAGACGGAAAGAAAATAAAAACAGAAAAGAGGCATCTAGATCAGTAATAAGTGAAGCAGTAAGTTCAGGGTTAAGGAGGGGATGATCAGTATTGTCAAATGCTGCAGGGAGGTTAAAAAGTAAGAATGCCATTGAATTTGGTGACTTTTGAAACCTTTAAGTTACTCGTTATTGACCTCTGAATAATTTTCATACAGTCATGGAGACAACAGACTGCAAGGGTTAAAGAGTAAACATAGGTACTTTTGGTTTCTGTTCTGACACATAAAGGCTGTGAAAGTCATCAGTCCTATGCTCACAAGAAAAAAGGCTGGGGAGACTGAAAATCAATAGGTCTTCTTAGGTCCATCAGAGAACTGAGGTTACAGGCAAACCCTTGCACTGAAAAGGTGGATATGAAAAAGAAAACAGAGGTTCACAACTTATTGGAAGCAGAAACTGCCACTGGAGCCAGCAAGTGGTAGGAAAACCTAAAAGGTGACTGACTAATTGCTGGAAATGAGTATTGACCAATTCAAAAGATAAAAACTCCTGAGGGCCCAGCCTTAGGGAAGCCCCCACACTTTCGTTTTACCTTCATGAGCTCGACCAGACTCTTGGGATGAAGATCAGAGAAAAAAAATCTCTTGATAGTTCCAGCAGGGAGACAGGAAGTAACCATTTTGAAATAAACCCAGAATGTTTAGATTTCCTTAACAAAGGCCTGTCTCAAGGGAAAATTATTTACCAGAGCCTAACAACATGGGGGAAGGGAAAGTCCATCTAAACTTTTCGTGCCACCTAAAGAGAACAATTCTGAGAAATGCTTGTGAAGGTCACAGCCCAGGGACAAAGTCCCACTAAAAGATTAAGACCTAATCATAGGATTATGGAACACTTCCTCTCCCCCATCGTACTACCACATCAATAGGGCTCCTGTATAACCACAGGATATTATAATGGATAGAACTGCAAGGCTCAGACTCTATTTAAGAAGGAGTCTCAAGAGAAACCTAAAAACCAGAGGAGACAAAAACAAGGACATTAGAGGAAACTGAAGCCTCAGAAACCTACAGATACAGCAGGCAACCTAATTCCTAGACAGATAAACATAAAATCTTACACTAAGGACTTATTTACCTCAGTTCATGTTCAGCTTTCAACAAAATACAAGGCATACCAAAGGCAAAAAAATCTGAAGAAACGAAGCAATCATTAGAGCCAAACTAAGACATGGCAGAGATTTTGCAACTGTCAAGAATGGGAATTTAAAATAATTATGATTAATATGCTAAGGATCCTAATGGGAAAAGTGAGTAACACGCAAGAACAGATGTAAACTCCATCCTAAAAAATCAAAAGGCAACGAATGAACGTGTAAAGAAATAGAATAGAGAAACTGGGCAGAGAAATAGGATAAAAGCGTTGAAGAAAGTATTAGTGGTTTCTACCACAATGGGAGAATACACCCAGTCCTCCAATTATGACTTTTTGATTTTATAGTGGTGTGAATGTGACATGCATTGCAGTGATGTGAATGTACTTTGAATTTTTCTTTTCCCAGGCTAATGATACTCTGTACAATGACACTCTCTTGTGATGCTGGCAGCTAGTGGAAGCTCCCAGTCAGCCACACTGTCACGAAGCTAAACAATCGATATAGTTACAACCATTCTGTTTTCCACTTTCAGTACAGTATTCAATAAATTACATGAGATACTCAACACCTTATTATAAAATAGGCTTTATGTTAAATGATTTTGCCCAACTGCAGGCTAATGTAAATGTTCTGAGCATGTTTAAGGCAGG